AGTGTGGCCAAACATATTGCAATGATGGCAATAGTAAGGCCTTTGTTCAGCTATGATTTTCTGCCAATAGCCATTATGCTCAGTGCCTAACCATATTTCCTCCACAGCTGGGAGGGTAATGTTTCTTTCCACCAGGATTCTAGCTACAGAAGGTCTAGACAAGTTGAAAGTAGGGCCATCCAATTTCAACGGTCTTCCCAATGCTTTGCCAATATTGAAAAGAACTTTGTGGTTGAAAATGTGTAGTTTAAGCCCTGATAACTTAAACCATATGGGGACAATGAGAAGTTCTTTGTTGGGATAAAATTCAGGAGTCCACTTTAAAAGCTTCATTGAAATTCCTTCAATCAAGATAGATTGTTTAGAGAAAATTCTAGCATAGTCATCCTCCCTTGAGAGATTAATAAGTATGTGCCTACCATCAAGTAGGTCTACTTTCCAAGCCCCTTTGAATTTCAGTCCATCAAAATATCTTCTCACAGATTCCATCTTAGGATGGCCAAGTTGGAATTTACCAATTAAGGAGAATTTTTGACATTCAGTTAGACCATTTAGGTCCTCTTCAGTAAAATAGATAGCTAATTTCCCACTTTTCTTGCATATGGGTTTGAAAAGAGGGTCATTACCCTCATGATATTCTTGAGGAAAAACCAAATCATCAGGATTCAGCACTATTTCCTGACCTTTCCTCACAATGTCAGCAAAAGTAGCTTTGGCCCACTGAATATTGGTGGAAATGTCTATTGGATCTGACATCACTGAATGGGTTTATTAGAGATAGATTAACCCAAAACAGTCCTAAGCCAGTGAAAAACCAAAAGAGCCCAACCTCACAGCAGGTAGAAAGCTCCAAGCAAACAGCCAAACAAGGGAAGCAGAAACACAATAAGGCTAAGCAATAGAACAGTAAAGAAGAACCTTTTTAGAAATATAGAAATATAGAAAGATAGTGGACACTGAGATGTCAAAACTGCTAGTGAGATGCCAAAGCTATACCAACCCCACAGTAGGTAGAAGACAAACAAAGGCAAAACTATGTGCAAAGCAATGGAACAGTAAAAATTTGAAAAAACCAGAACCTGGGAAGAAGTAAAAGCTTTGAGAATCGTAGAACTTCTAAGGTCCAGTGATGAGAAGGGAGAAAACTAGTTGAAATAAGAAGGTAGCAAAGATTAGGCCATTTACAACAGCCATTTGAGCCATTGTGCCGAAACCCTAGCAGAGCAACTGAGGAAACAACC